TTTGTTTTTTTTTTTTTGTCAGTCCTGGAGCCTGAACTCTGAGCCTGGGCACTGGTCTTCAGCTCTTCAGCTCAAGGCTAGTGCTCTACTACTTGAGTCACAGCACCACTTCCAGCTTTTTCTGTTTATGTGGTGCTGAGGAATCCAACCCAGGGCCTCATGCGTGCAAGGCAAGCACTCTACCACTGAGCCACCTTCCCAGCCCCAGATAATGATATTTTTATAGTTGATTTTTTTTAAAATAATGCTCTAATTTTTTTAATACTCTATTATTTAAAGCTCATCGTTAAGTTTTCATGATTAAGCCTATTGAAGTAACATTGATAATATTTGGCAATCACAGCACTTTACACATTTAAAACAAATGCAATCTAATCTTCAGAATCCCACTAAAGATGATTCCTTATCTATGGAGAAAATAAAATAATGCCTCTCCTACATATAAACAATTACCCTAACCACATGCCGTGCTTCCAAAATAGCCAAGAAAATGCTTATGCCCCAGGCTTTCCTTTTAGGTTTTATGTTTTGCTAAATTACACCAACTATGTTCTTTAAATATCCTGACAGACAAGCATGCCTGAAACCAAACAGTTAACACAAATATGATTTAGGACTATTATTTTCTTACAATAATATTTTTTAAAAAATAGGTGTCCAAAGATTACATTAATTTTTATTTAAAAGAGCCTTGAAGAATTGGTTTTATCACACGAAGTACCTAAGAATGTCTCAAGATTCCCCTCTAGATGAAGTGGGTCTGAGGAAACTCAGATAAGACCTGAAAGGAACTTCACACAACACTCATTCTTTGTCTTTCATTCCTCCATTCCTCTACCTGACAAGCATTTATGATGTGCCTACTGTGCACAGGCCGAGGTGATGAGAGAGGTGGAGGAAAATAGTTCTGGGTCACGTGGTTCTTGGAACCCAGACAGGAAGTCAACAGGCACCGCTCAGGATGGTGATGTCACAGCTGCACAACGCCTGCAGCTCATTATTCTGTTTGCCAAGACCTCTTCAAAAGTGGGCTGGCATGGACTCAGAGTCAGGGCAAAGCACGTGGGGGATGGAGGGAGCCTGCTGCCTCAGGAGTCCCAGAAACAGTAATGGTGAGGGTTGAAAACTCAGGAGGAGCCAAAGGAAGTGGCCTGAACTCAGCAGCCTGGATTGAGGGAGGGTATAGGCTGGCTGGGCATGAAGGTGGATGCACCAGAACCGGGCTCTAGATCAGCAGCAGCTCGACTGGAAGCTGGCTTACCTTGCTCTCAGGAAGAAACCTATGAACGGCTACTGATGAGTTCCTTTGAACCTTTTCAGGGGAAAGTGAAAACTGCTTCTATGCATTTGCAGAAGTGAGTTATTGGGCTATAAAATGCCAGATACCCCTCTAGCAAAGGCTAGCCAATGTTATCTGTTTGCAAACCATTCTCTGCAACCATTTTTCTAGGTTTATAGTGCTATTACTGTCAGCCTCCAGAAAAAAGCAGTTTTTTCCAGCAATACCTGTTTCAAGCTTCCTTTTCAAGCATCCCATTTTATCCAGCTGCAAGCCAGGCATGTGGAATATATATGCCTACAATCCCACAACTAAAGAAGGTGAGTTTACAGGCGTTCAAGATCACCTAGCCCAACACAGCAAGACAAGGCGCTGTGCAGAAGACTAGAATCAAATGCAAAGTACCTCATTTAGAAGGGGAATTTATACACCAAAGCCAAAAGTTCACTCCTCTCTCTCTCTCTCTCTCTCTCTCTCTCTCTCTCTCTCTCACACACACACACACACACAGACACACACACACACACAGAACACTTATTCCTAAGTGTTGAAATGGTAATGTTTAGTATTTAATAGACAAACTGATGTAGCACTTTGAGATTAAAGCATCAGTGTCCGTCCTTCCTTCCTTCCTTTTTTTTTCGGCTGTGGGGCTTGAACTCTAGGCCTGGGTGCTGTCCCTCAGCTCTTCAGCAAAGGTCCAGTGCTCTACCACTTGAGCCACAGTGCCACTCCCAATTTTCTGGTGGTTAATTGGAGATAAGAGTCTTACAGACTTTCCTTCCCCGGGCTGGCTTTGAACTCCGATCCTCAGATCTCAGCCTCCTGAGTAGCTAGGATTACAGGCGTGAGCCACCGGCACCCAGCATCAGTGTCTTTTCTCTAGTGCAAATAATAAATAGCAAAACAACCATGAAACCAGCATTGCAGACCCCAAGGCACCAGTTCCAAAAATAAATAAAAGAAAAAGCCCAAGAGATGGCATAGCAGGAAAGCACCAAAAAGAGTGATATGAAAATATGTAAGTTAACATCTCAGAACAGAATTGAACATATCCCTGTTTTGTTTCTTTTCTTTTTCTTTTTCTAGGTCCAAGACCAGAACTCAAACTCAGTACCTGCTGATTCTGCTCATTGGCTAGTGCTCTATCAACTGAGCCACACCTCTAATCCCTATGTTTTGTTTCTAGATGTTTTTTAAAAAGCCCAGTTAATATATAAGCAATTGCAAAATATACAACTCCAACTCTATATATATACATAACTCTCTCTCTCCCCCCCCCCAGGGGGGAGGGATTCAAATACTGTATTGGGGGTATGAGTTTCTTGATCTCAGCAGCAGAAAGGCACAGCTAGGCAAGAACTTTCTGTTTCCAGAGAATTCACTAAGCATCTTGATCACTCCAGTCCTGACACATACACTGACATGCACACACACCCCAGCAGGAGCCACCGATTGCCCTGACAACCACCTAGCCAACCTGCTGGCAGCAGACATGTTGCGACCAGATGCGACCAAGACACCAAGCCATGCATCTGCCAAAGATAATACAAGACGTACAGATTCTCTAATCGTGCTCTTTTCAAAAACACGAAACATATCCACGTCAACAAACGGAGCTGTTTTCTCCCCTGCTCGTAAAGTACTGACGATTATCTCCCTATGAAAAAGGATGGGAACCCTAGATTTTTCAAAGTTACTAAATGTTCCTGGTAAGGCACACTCATAATTTCTGAAAATACCAATTACAGTTGGGAAAGACTGCTAACTCATGACAAGTCCTTGCAAGCTAGGATTTTAGGAGCCACTGGGTTGCAAACCACATTCCCACCCCCGCCCCCCCCAGCTGATTTCATAGGCTCCAGAGGTTTGAATGTTTGTGGGGGAAAAATACATAGAATACTTGCCTTGAGTCATGGGGCATTTCTGATCAATGAGACGATCAGTGAAATCTTAGCTTGAAAAACGATGTAGCAAGGTAATCTGATTTGCAGAAAAGCTAAACCTCCTAAGGGGCCAAGGCTACTTCTATCAATTTCCTTACAGTTAGATTTTAAAGCAAAGCTGCACAGGAGATAAACATGAGCATAGCTTCGTTCTTGGGGGAAGGGAGCTTTGGCAGATGGGGAAGACATGTTAACATTTCCACTTCTGAAGTTCCGTAAATTGCCTTGGACAGGTGGCTTAAAAGTCTGCAAATTAAAAACGTTCAAATGTAAGGCTTAAGAGCATCATTAATTACAGCCAAAGCGCTAAGCACTGTTCCCCTATGATTAGGCCTAAGAAGCTCCACGGTGTCATTTTCTTTTCCTTCTTACAGCCTTCATACAGTGGCACAGCCAGGTGATGGGAAATAATGGAGACAGGATCAGCCACTGCTGGAATCCATTAAATACTATTTGAAGTGTCAAAGGACTAGGAATGTAGCTTAATGGTAAGATTGTTAGCCTAGCTTGTGGGGCTCCTTGGTCCCATCCAAGTACCCCAACATTGTTAAATAGGCTTAATAGAGTACAATCATTTGAGCCAGGTATGGTGGCTCCCGCCTGTAATCCTCAGTGCTCCCTAGGGCTGAGGCAAACGTTGGGTGTGGGGTTCGAGGGTAGCCAGGGCTACATAGTCAATTCAAGTTTAGCTTATGCTATTTATGGAGACCCTGTGTCCAAAAAAAAAAAAAAAAAAAATCGAGAAGGGCCACATGCCTATAATCCTAGTAATTTGAGAGTTAGAAATCAGGAGGATCAAAGTTCTGGGCTAGCTAGTCCAGGCAAAAAGCAAAACCTTATCTCAATGAAATAAAGCCAGTGTAGTAGTAGTGCCTGTCTGTCATCTCGGCTACAGCAGAGATAAGGATGATGATTACCAATCCTGCCAGTCCAGCCAGAGGACCTGGAGACTTAATTCCCCCCAAAATAATGCAAGCAAAAAGGCACAGAACCTTGTCTGGGTCTGGCAATCATGAGATCCTGAGCTCAAACCCTAATACTATCCCCATTCCCCATCTTCTCCCCCCCCCCCCCCAAACAAAGAAACAAGGAGACAAAAGTACCATCACAAAAAGCATCTGCCCTCCCCCCCCAATCTCTTTACTAAGTCTACCATTTTACATTGGAAGGAGTTTGGCCCAGTTTCATAATACCATGACCCTTCTTCCCCTGGCTTGCATTCAAGGGGAACCATTTTTTTTTTTTTAAATCTGTTTACACATTTCCTGCATCAATTCCACTCGGACGCCCTGAGACCCTGGGAGGCAAATAAAAACAAAGCAAGATCTGCTCCCCCCAACAAACAAACAAACAAGCCAGGAAGTGGAAGTGACCAGAACAATCACACTGCCTACTTTGCATTTTTCTTCATCGCCATCCGAAACCAATCTGAGCCTCGATGGAGAGAGGACGGGAAGTGCACCCAACCCCACGCCCCGGGCCCCCCCTCCAGCCCGGGCCGGCGCCCTCCGACCCAGGTGTCGGTCTGGGTGTCAGGGTGTGTGTCTGTCCGGTCGGGCGCCCGCAGGCCGCCCCCCCAACCCTTCCCCATGGGGGAGCGGGGTGCTCGCGCTTTGCGGGAAGCTTCTGATCGGGGCAGGGGGGAGACCCGGGGGGACCCCGCGCCCCGCGCCGGCCCCGCCACCACCTGTGGGCCTCCGGGCCGCTCCCGCCAAACTTGCCCGACGCAAACTTTGCAGCCGCCCGCCCGCGCCGCCTGGGGGCCCCGCGCTTACCCGGGACGCCGGCGGACGCGCGGGGCGCGGGGCGCGGGGGCTCGGCGGCCGCCGCGGTGGCCCGCGCCACAGCCTCGTCGCGAGCATGCCTGGCTCGCGGGCGCCGCGGTGCGCGCGGGGCGGCTCCGAGCCGGCGGCCGGGCGCGGCGTGGGCGCGGGCGGGCGGGAGGGCGGGGCCCCGGCCCGGGATTTTCCCCCCTCCGACAAAAAAACAAAAAAAAGGCAGAGAGAGCAGGAGCACGGTCTTCCTCAGCTCTCCCGGGCGAAGGCGTCCCCATCTGAACAGTACCGAGCCACGAGGGCCCCGGGGCCGGGCTCAGAGAGCCCGGGAAGGGCCTCGGGTTCGAACTCGAGCGAAGAACGAGCCAACGCTGCTCTCCCAAGCTGGGGTTTTGCAGGGCAGGCGTTTCCTGCAGATGCTTCTTTGGAACAATCCAGAACAAGAGATCCACACCTGGCCAACTACTGCTTTCCAGCGTCTCCACTATTGCTAGGAGCCTTGCGCTGCCCATTGCAGCCCCCGCCTGGCAGGGCTGCCCGGCCCGGGCCTGGGCGTCCCGGGTCCCCGGCGGACCCGGGCGGGATCGTCCAGGTCCCCCGCCTGGCAGGGCTGCCCGGCCCGGGCCTGGGCGTCCCGGGTCCCCGGCGGGCCCGGGCGGGATCGTCCAGATCCCACCTCCCAGGGGCCTCCCAGGCTCCGGCTGGGGTCTGACTCCGGCTCACTCGCCAGCGTTTGGGGCACAGCCCGGGTGGGGCATCGGTCTTCTGAAACATGCACTAGGCGACACTGCTCTCCTGGGATCCTGTGTTTTCATTGGCCCAACCTGCCAGAGCTGGGGCCAATGAATCAAAGCTGTCACAGAATACAGGTGTCCGCTTCTCCAGAGGATCACCATGAATTGAAAACAAAACAGAAAACCCCTGGAAATGTCTGAGATACTAAAACTTTTTCCACTGAAAACCAGGAAGAAAAAAAAACTGGAAAAACAGGACTCAAAACAAGTGTTCTAAGTTTCCTAAATAAAGCCTGGGGATAGGTTTCACCTGCTCTCAGCTACCATTTCCTATAGATAACATCTACGCCTGGGGGTGAGGAAGATAAGGTCCAGGCTGAATAAGTAAAACTGTTACTTAGGCTCTGTTCATCTCTAATTGCTTTAATCTCTTAATTGCCTTTCTCCTCCCCTGAGCCCACAAGTGTCCCCCAAACCCTAATCTCCACCCCTTTTCAGAGATTAGAGCACCACAGAAAGATCAACTGAGGCTGGTTAGGGAACAAGACCTTTAAAGACTAATTGAGTTAAGCAGCACTAGGGTTTGGAAAATCTAATATCCCTGGGCAGTTAGTGTCGCTGGAGACAGAAAGTTCCTAGGGGAAAATAAATGACTTTACTTGAGTGGTTTTTTGCTATAAACTAGTACTCCAAAAAAAGTGTTTTTTTTTTTTTCTTAAAAATGTGGAAAGGAGAGAAGATGCCTATTTTCAGTTTAGAATCTGCCACTAGGACAAAGTCAGCAAATTGCTGAGCTCCTCTGGGTGTTGTAGACAGCTAGGGTGTGTGGTAGATGACCTCCACAAGCATGTAATGGTGGACAAATAAACTTTTATCTGGTGCTGGTCCTGGGGCTTGAAAATAACACCTAGGCACTTTGTTTGGGGTTTTGTTTTTGTGTTTGTGTGTGTGCTCACAGCTGGCACACTAGCACTTGAGCCACAGCTCCATTTGTGCCTTTTTGTTGGGTGTTGGTAAGAGTCTCATGAGCTTTGCAGCTCAGGCTGGCTTCAAACCAGGATCCTCACTTCGTAAGCAGCTCATTAATTTGAAGTTGCTAGTCCTCACTCTCTAGCACTTGGCATGAGCACTTCCTGTCTCTGTGTATTGTTATTCTGCCTTCTAATCTACAACTTCCAGTCACAGTTTTAAATTTGTCACATCTCTTCCTTCCCATAAGCGTACTTTCATTGTTTATCATTGACAGAATCTTTAATTTAAAGCAGCTACCGTGCTAGGCGCCCAAAGACTAGTAAAGCCCAGCACTGGCCCTGGCATGCATAATCTAACTGGGGAGGGAGACACGGTGCAAATAAAATCAGTGCTGAAGACTTCAAAGTGTGCAAGTGCTAAGTGCAAAGGAGTAGTCATAACAGCAGTTAGGAGCCAGCACATTGAATTTACTCAGAAGCTAAGGACACTTAAGCTTCAGGCTGTTCACTTGCCAAAGCTCTCCTAAAGCCCAGGGATAGGAGTGTGTGTGTGTACGCATAGCAATGTGCTTATGTGACCACTATTTCTACAAAGATACCTTAATTGGAATAGCTAAAACTGCTCCATCTTTCCTCCCCAGCCTGTTCTGTCACACATGCCTGTATATTGGGTGGCAATGGGGGTCTGGCCTTTCTCAAGGGTCTACACAGGAGTAAGTTGAATTGGAGCTATCTTTAGTTTGGGTACAGAGACACATGGTTTTGACTCAAAAGTCTTTTTTCATATACTAATAAGTTGGCCAACTTCGTTTTTTGTTTTGTGCCCGTATGAGGGCCTTGCACTTGCGCTGGGCTTTTTCAACCATGGCTGGCATTTTACTACTGAGCCATGCCTCCAGTCTCCCCTCTTTTGCTGGTTAATTGGAGGATTTGTTTGCCCAGAATGGCTTTAAATCACAATTTGCAGATCTCAGCCTCCTGAGTAGCTAAGATGTGTGAATCATCAGTGCCCAGCTCCAACTTAGTATTTTGGTTCAAAGTATAGGACCAGAGATTGTATTGCAATATGAACATATACCACAGGGTTAGGTTCTGGCTGTATGCAGCTCATGCAGAGGCAATTACAGACAATGTAAATAAGGCAGAATGGTTCATGCTTGTAATCCTAGCTACTCAGGAAGTTGAGATCTGAGGATCAAGGTTCAAAGCCACCCTGGGCAGTGAGACCACTCAGTCCACAGTGAAAATATGAAAGATTTTTTGGGTCCAGTCGTGGGGCCTGAACTCTGGGCCTGGGTGCTGTCCCTCAGGTCTTCAGCTTAAGGCTAGCACGCTACCACTTGAGCCATAGCACCACTTCCGGCTTTTTCTTTCTTTCTTCTGCTTATGTGGTGCTGAGGAATCCAACCTAGAGCCTCATGCATGCAAGGCAAGCGCTCTACCACTGAATCACCTTCCCAGCCCTGAAAATGTAAAAGATTTTATTGAGCACCAAAAGTGCTGACACGCCAGGACCACACCTGGAGTTGGGATCCCAGGAAACGGCCCTGAGGGCCAGCCCATATGGGCTTTTAAGCATTTTGGGCTAGGGCGGGGAAAAGGGGAGGTTGGGTGTTGGTTTTAGCCAATGATTACAAGAAATGCACACCTTAAGTTTAAATTTCCTGCCAAGGTTTTGCTGGTGGGAAGCAGGGGAACAGAACAAAGGGTGGGGATGGTCCTTTGGGTTAGGGCTCCCATTGCTTAGAAAACAGCAGAAGCAGAGTTACAGTTACAGGGTTATGGAGTTACAGAGTTACAATTACAGTTACTAGCTAAAGTAATGAGTTACCAGGGAAGTTTTATCCATAGCACACTTACATTTATATCTTAAAATCATTATCCATTTTACACAATCCAAGTCAAATATCATATTCCATCTTTACGTCCTCCACCATATCAGGCAGAAAAGTCCATTAGACTCATTGCCAGTTAATCAACAAAAAGCCAGAAGTGGAGCGATGGCTAAGTTGGTAGAGCACCAACCTTGAGCTAAAAAAGCTTAGGAATAGCACCTAGGCTCTGAGTTCAGTACCAAAAAAGAAAACAAAAATTCTATCCAGGAATATGTTTAACAAGCATTTTTTGTTGTTATTGCCTTAAAGGACAGTGACTATCTTACTTAATGTAACGTGCTATTTCAGGGAGCTTTTTTTTTTTCTTTTCTTTTGTCAGTCGTGGGTCTTGAACTCTGGGCCTGGGCGCTGTCCCTGAGCATTTCAGATCAAGGCTAGTGCTCTACCACGAGCCACAGCACCACTTCTGGTTTTCTGGTGGTTTATTGGAGATAAGAATCTCACGGACTTTCCTGCCCAGGCAGGCTTTGAACCATGATCTTCAGATCTCAGCCTCCTGAATAGTTAGGATTACAGGCATGAGCCACCGGCGGCCAGCATCCAGGGAGCATTTGTAAAAGGAATTTTCGTAAGGACACTTCAGCCATTACAATGTAATGATGGAAAAGTAAAATAAGCAAGCAATGGAACTGCTTTCAAAAGATGCCAAATCACTGTATATGTGTATTTGCAATGAGCAGTTTTACAAAAGCCAAAACATAAAGTGTGCATTATGCTTATACTTGTTTTCCTGCCTTTTTTGTGTGTCCTCAGGGGGCTTGAACTCTGGGCCTGACGGCTGTCCCTGAGCTCCTTTTGCTCAAAGTTAGCTTACTATTCCATGTAAGCCACAGCACCACTTCTAGCTTTTCTGGTGGTTAACTGGAAATCCAAGTCTCACAGACTTTCTGCTTGGGGTAGCTTCGAACTGCAGTCCTCAGATGTCAACCTCCTGAGCAGCTAGAATTACAGGTATGAGCCACCAGTGGCCTGACAACTTTCCTACTCTTTAGATATAATGGATACCATGGACAAAATTTAAATAATTGTGAAATTTAAATAATTATTGTTCCAAGTAACAAATGAACATGTCTACATTTCTGTTGGAGCAGTAGTTTCTGAGAAATCTGCAAGTAAATATATTTTACAAGATATAATAAAGCACTTCATCCTTGATTTCATCAAATACAAATTTCTGAATAAGCTCATTAAAAAAAACTGGTATGACCATAAAACTCCAAGGTAAAATCTAGAAAAAAATAAACATGATCTTGGGTATAGCAACAACTTTTAAACAAAGGACCAAAAACCAAATCCAGGAGAAGGAATCATATACTGGCCTTCATTGAAATGAACAGCATGGGTAACATCCATCAGTAATGTCAGTACTCAAAGGCAGAGGCAGGCGGATCACGGGTTGTGAGTCCTGGTCCAGGACTGCATGTGGCTTCCGTGAGGCCTGCCCCAAGAGGGCTGAGAACACACCATGGCCAGACACAGGGAACGCGTCCACCATGTTGTTTCCAACCTAATTGTAAGTTTTCATCTCTTTCTAAGTGTTTAAATGTATTAGTGGGAAGCTATTTTGAAAGAAGGGCTCTTGGTTTCCTTAGCGTAACACTTTTCCTAATCTGTGCATTTCCTGAGCACACTAGAGTCATGCACATAGAGACATCAACTAGTATCTGACACACATATTTACATAATGTATACATGCTCTTCTAAGATACAGTACATATCCCTGGTCAAGGCCCTTCTTAAGTGGTCAAATATGAGATTTGGGGAGTGATGGATGTATTTATAAAAAGTTGCCCTGGGAAAATCTTCTCCTATTCTCAGCACCAACACTAAGCAACACTGACTTTAATGAGTTTCAACTAACTGCCCTCCTGGAAGCATGCCTTTTGCTCTCACCAACACTTAGCCTCACCAA